GCAGATATGTATGTATGCACTGGATGTTTTTCAAAGACAAATTTTTGAAAAGTTTATTTATAGATTACTGATATTATTATCTTTTTAAATATCTTTGTTTAAAATAAAATATCGATAATCTTAATTTGTTTAATTGATATCATTAAGAAAATAGGATTTGTTAAGTATGGGTGCTTATGATTATAAATATAAATATATTGAAAAAATAAAAGAGAATAAAAAATAATGTAAATGTGCAACTAACAATGAATAAAAAAAAAAAGAAATTATTAAAAATTATAGCTATATACTATGGTGTATGTTGGATCACTTTTTCTAATGAAACGAAAATGAAAGTGTATAAAAAGAACAACAGAGTGTATCTACACGTAAAATGAGTTAGGGACGTAAGCACTAGTAATTAGTAGTTTTTTGCATCGTTAACGTAAAGTATCCCAACATATCTTATACGTAGTATACACTAACATTGACGATAATCATGGTATTTTAATGTCCACGTGATTGCCAAGCACTTACGAGTGTTTTCCTCCGCGTAGTTTATAATTCGCAAAGCGACCAATTAACATTTTTCGAAAAGAGAAAGAAAAAGAAGGTGCTTTTAACGAGATCGAAATACTTTCTAAACTATCTAGACCATAATGTCTCGTTTCGATTTGTTCCTGTTGTTATTCGTAGAAAATTCTTTTTTTTTTCCTTTCTTCCTGTTATTTTCTTTTTATTAATTATTGTCTTTCACAACTTTTACAATCAATCGTAATTTCGTAAAATTATCATCGCGAAACCAATTACATTTAATAATTTCCTCGTTAAAACATAAAAGAAATAATTTTCAGAAGATTCGCGAACTGTCACACATCTCGTTCAATCTTCGTCTCTATAAATACTTTCTCATGAAAATAGTCATTGCTTTCACTTTTACACATAATCAAAAAAGGAACGCAACGAAATATGATTCGCGTTCAAATTCTCTGGTAACTTTCTCGCAAGATAAAGACGTACAATATCCCGCTGTGTTCGGTTGCTCTCGGTGGATGCTTCTCTGTTAGCAGCAAGAAAAGAGTACTTCGAAGGTATTCTCTTTCTCTTTTTCTCTCTCTCTCTCTCTCTCTCTCTCTCTCTCTCTCTCTATTACTTTGTGGAAGTCAAACAAAAGCAGAACAAGTGCTTATAGAGTATTCATTTAATGTTTGACGCCTTTCGACTATGGCAAAGACCGTATATAACAAAGTATAATAAATTAAAAGTAGAAGGAACAAGAATAAAAATTGTTCTTTGATATACACAAAAATGTAATTATATAATAAATATCAAACGAAATAAACTTCTATACATTCTCTTTCATAGTTTTTCAATTAAAGCAATATTAATAAAACATTTAATACAAAATTATAAATTAATCTGCTCGCTTTGTCATACATTATGCAAAACGTGATCTTCCGAAATAAGTAAACATGATTAATACATATTTATGTAAAAAGTTATCTTTTAAATACAAGCAATAAAAACATTCAATATATTCCTTGATATCTATCATAGAAATGAAAAACAGCATGGAAGGTTTCTTCTTGAAACACAAGAAGAAATAAAAAATTATTCCAGATGTGTAATGTTTACTGATTCAGCCAGTATATTGATAATATGTATGTACGCAAGCAATAAATTCGACAGGTTACTCTCGGTATGGATAAGGGATCTTCGATCGAGAGCATACACGTATACGCTCATACTCGTGCCAAAAAAGAAGACTAAGACGAAGACGAAGATGAAGAAGAAGAAAAAGAAAAAGAAAAAGAAAAAGAGATAAGAGGAAAGAAGAAAGCTTACGTATCTACCTATTGCTTTCCTCTTCGTACCAGTCAAGAGATGCTGTGCCGGCAAATCGGAGCGCGCGTTACACGGAATCCTTTTACTCGAGTTCCCCCTCTCGAAGTTTTCTCAGCTCCTTCTGAACGTTCTCCAGCACCTCTTCAACTTCTCTACTTCTGTTGATGTCTCTTATATGTAGTAGCAACAACGACGATGATGATAATTCCAATAACGATTGATTAAACCTCGATTTCGAAATATTCTTCTGATCTGCTTTCTATTTCTTTCTATCTCACCTTTTTCACTAAGAACACTATTCAAGCTTTTAACGTGAACCACAACACTACCTTCACCAGCACCTGCACAAGCATAAGCACCTGCACCTGCATTCACGAAACGAACAACCGGCAAATCCTGGCGTAGCAAAGCTACGCAAGATGATCGTTGCTCAATTAAAAGGTTACTAATCTCCAAGAAAGACAACAACGACAACGACAACGACCGGAATAACGAAAAGAGAGACAACAACGACGTTGAAGACGATGGCATCCTTGCGACATCGTCGTGCACTGCACTCCCGAGACGAGCCAAACGCTCGCTCGTTCCCTCGCTTGCTTGCTTACTTGCTTGCTTGCTTACTTGCTTCTTCACTCCTTTCTCTCTTCTTCCTGTCTTTGTCCCTCTCTCTCTGTTTCTCTCTTTCTCCTACCCTTTCTTCACCTTTTTTTCCTCTCCTCTCGTCCCTTTGATCCTTCCCTATTCTTCATTACTCTCTCTCTTTCTTTCTCTTTTTTACTTTTTTTTTTATTTTACCGTAAAGATAAAATTCGAACGACCAAAAAACGTGGCCGACTTTCACGACCGAGGCAGATATTTAAGATTAAAAATTTAATGCGTCTATACAATTTGACAAGAAGATAGTAGAAAGATATAGAAAAAGAGATAAAAAGGAGATGAGAAAGAAGAGAGAACTGATAACGAAGCATTGATTAAGACTAACGAATAGATCTTCTTTTTTTTTTTGTTTTTATACTCTAAATTTGAGAATTAGAAAATAAGAAGGACGTAGCAAACAAAAAGGAGGAAGAGATAAAAAGAATTCTTGAATTATCGATATCTCGATTCGATGGTCCCACGATCCCGCGTTAACACACGCACAGTCAAGAGACTCGAGCTGGACTGACCGCCAAGATGAGGCCCATGTTCCCCCCTCTACGTCTCCTCCTCCTCCTCATCCTCCTTCTTCTCTCTGGCTTACAATCTCGGCCTGAAACCCCCTTTCTCCCCCACCCCATTCGCATGCCGCGGGGCCTTCTTCCTATATACACCCTCCCCTTCCCCTATCTACTCCTCTTTTCTATTCTCTCTTTATCCTCCCACCGTGACTCTTAACTCTATCTTTCTCTCGCTCGCAAATTCATTTTATCCTTTTCCTTCTTTCTCGTCGATTCATCTTTCTCTCCCGCATGGTTCCTCCATGCCGGCGAATCTACAAGACACGTGCAATTCATTTGGATTGCCACTTTTTAACGAATATTAAGTAGAGCAATTATATAAAGTATATGTATATAAATTTGTATATAAAAAAAAAAAGAAAATTGTACACAACCTAAAGCAGCGTTTTCCAATCTGTGTTCTTTGAAACATTATAATGTTCTATGAAAAAATTAATTTTATTTTCATTTTTGTTTTATTGTATATGTATAGGGAAAGTGGGAAATGCAGAGCATTGCTTTGATAATGCCTAGGTATTATCCACAATATCGAGCCGTTTTTGTCAATATAGGAAACAGAAGAATTCTTATCTATATCTTTTATTCCTCATCATTACGACACATGCTGTTTACGCAATGTCTAGAAGAATACATTATTGGGCAACAGTACAAACTCTGCCCTCAAACACATACACAAAAACAAGCATGCAGCGGGTTGTTAAGCTGTGCGTGCCGCTATACTATACGTACCTCTGTAAACTGAAACTTAATGTCGATGTGTATACAGCACACTTGTGATGTGTGTTCTTCTGTTTCCTACATTGACAAAAACGGCTCGGTATTATCGACAGTGTCTAGACATTATCCACAATCCCTGCATTATGCATGTCTGCATTTTGATATAACACAAAACTTATCAAATATGATCAAGTTATATACATACAATTTTCTGTAGATAATTAGTGACTCCTAAAATGACTTGTACAATTGCTTTATAAATTTGAGGTTATATGAATTAATATTTTGTTAATGAAATGTTTGGGAGAGGTTAAAATCCTATAGAAAAAATTCTTTTCCAATTGAAGCTATTAAAAATATTTCAAGGTAATTTTTCGTTTTATTTTCTTCTTTTAATAAAACAGTTATGTCTATTCATAAAGTGAAAACGTTTTCGAAATTATTTCACAAAGATCTGTTCTGTAAATAAGAAATACATTTATACATGTAAAGCTTACAACTATAAAAATTACTAGATTACTAATGTTATTTTTATAAAATCAATTTAATTTCATTACAACTTTTAATAATATCACGGTATAAATTATTGTAATTATTTTTAAATTGAAATTTAACGAAGACTTAATTGACTTTTAACTGACTTTTAAACTTCTATAACAATGTTTGTTAAATAGAAGTTATTTTGGCATCGAGAGGTGCTCTGAAATAAAATATTTTTTATAGAAGAAAAATAAAAAAGAAATTTTGTAAATCTATAATGATATCCAAAAATTTGATCTATTACAATTAAAAACGACGATCTTAACATAAAATTAAGGAATTAGGAACAATACGACTTATAATAACATAGTTATCGTAAATAACCAGGTACCAAGGTATCAGTATATTTGTTACATAAAGTTTAAAGTATATCGTCAAATTGACTCGTTTGAATTATTTATATTCATTGTTACTTGATGATAATCATATAATATATGTTAATACTTAATAATATACGTGTACATTACCATATCGGTACAACGTGAACGTTAAATTCGTAAATGTGTTTCATATTTGAATCCTCTTCTTTTAATACAAAGATTAAATTTCTTTTCAGCATTTAATAATGAAACATGATATGAAACTATAAAATAGAATAAAGTTCAAAGAAAAAACTTTACTTAATAAGACGTCTACGAATGATCTGGTAGGTTAAAATGTAATTACTTAAAAGCGCGCTCTTTTTAAGTGATGCCATTTAAAAATTGATATCGCGCATGCTCCGAGGTGTTGTTTCCACCTCGTAAACGTCACACGTTCAAGGTACGTAATTTAATATTCATGTTAGATAATAATCATGAAACCGATATTTTTTTTTTATTTCCCAGATTGTATTGAAAAAAAATTCTTTTACGTCGTTTTATTAAGGAGGAGTGTTATGATTCGATCGCCTCACGTGACGCACTTTATGAAAAATGGCGTGAAGTTGGCAGGAAGATGGTTGATCAGAATTACGAAAGAGTGGACGGTCCCTCGCGGGGTTACCGCTTCCCATTCCCTCGCAGAACTACATTACTTCGCTTTTCTTCGTTCACCAGAGTCAAAGAAACATAGCAATACAATGTACGATATCAAGTGGATCATACCTAAACTCCGAACTCCAACAAAATTATGGAACATAGCGAGCAGTATAACCTTCGCCGCTGTTGGGATATTTTCCAAAATTCTTATAGGTATGTATCATTGTTACTTATATATGGTATATATTACGTAGTATTACTTTTGAATCAATCTATTCTTTAAAATCACTTGTCTGCATTTTCTCTATACTTTCCAAAATATCTTGGTTTTTTTCATATTTTTTTTTTTTATATTCTTTCTTTTTTGTTAATGTTTACAAGAATTTACAGAGAATTATCTATTACTCATGACGACTATTTTTAAATATTAATGATTTTATTTATTCAGTTTATTTCTACTTTGATCTACTATGATCAACTATCTATTTAGTGTTTCCTTGTGAAATTCTTTAATTCATGTAATGACTAGCTAAACCCTAAAATAGCTATACTGACCTGTTTAAATATGATAGAAGGCAAAATTACTTGTTTCAACTTGGTAATATATGAATTTACAAAATGTAAATAGTTAAGGTATGAAATTGAAATTAAATCCATAAATAAGATCCAATAAGACAGCACAACTAACAGAACATTAGATTGTAAAGTTCAAGAAGAGATAAGAACGGATAACTGCAAGTATTGTTGTAGAAAGAAATGCGGACTTTAAAGACGGATCACATTTCAATCTCATATTTTAACTACTTGCCTTTTGTGAATGTATACGTATATAATTTTATGCATACCCTAAAACTACTAGTTTTAATGAATAAGAATCATTTTTATACACACATTTTTACACACTTTTTATGTGCTTTCCCAAAAACACCTAGTTATTATGGGTTAAATCTAGAATTTCTTTATTTAAATGAATTTTTTAACTAAATTTATTAACTCATAAAGTGCTAATTTGTTTTACTGCATTTGGAAATTATCATAATAAAATTACATATAATTATTATATAGTAATAGAAAATAACTTCAATAATTTATCTTTTCTAAATTAAATTTTTTTAATATTACATGTATAAGAGTTATGCGTATGTCTGTCCTACGTGATCAGATAAAGGTAATTTTCCTTTACTTATATTAATAATGAACAATGTATATTAATCTATCCATTTTTTCTTCATTTTGTTTTATCGAGTTAAATGATTTGACGTATGAATGTGTGTGTGTATGTATGTGATTCATGTATAAGTAATATTGTATATATAATATCTTATATACTGATTTGGTTCTAATAAGAAAAAAGAAATATAAATATATATGTAATACAAGTATCGTTTTTTTAATAAACATATTCTTTCGCATTAAGAATGGTTAAATAAAGCATTGGTGTACAACAAACATATCATTAACCGGGCCTTAGATGAACGACCAAAAAATGTTCCACTCATCACCGTCTCAAATCATCACAGTTGTTTCGATGATCCTGGCATATGGGGTAAGTTCAAGTTTTATTCATATCACCGCAAAAGCAAAATGTATGAAGCTTCGATTAATTTATCAATTATTTTAATTGTACAGCGCATTTGCTTGTTATATTTAACGTCTAAATAAATTATGCATGTGTACAAATACGTACATATGTTATACAGGTTGTTTCCCTGTCTTTCTTTTTCCTTTCCTCTCTGTTTATCTCTTTTTCTTTCTCGTTTCTTGTATTCTGAATATGCCCGCAAACTCTCCCTCTGAGACATATATAATCTTTTCTTTCTCAGAATGACGTCGCTAAGCGATCGAATGAAAGAATTAAAGACAGAAAATCTCTGAACTCATTTAGCCACACTGGACCTGAGACATTTGCTGAATCGTCGTAAGATGAGGTGGTCGCTCGCTGCACATGACATTTGTTTCACGAATGTTTGGCATTCCTACTTCTTTATGCTTGGCAAGTGCATACCTGTCATACGAGGCAATGGTGTTTATCAAGAAGCTATTGACTTCTGCATCGAAAGGCTGGCTTCTGGAGATTGGGTCCACGTGTTTCCTGAAGGAAAAGTCAACATGTTTAAAGAAAATATGAGGTATTTATATTTATCATTACTTTCATTTTAATTATTCATACGTTTATCTATGCATTCTGAGCATTAACTACACGACCACGTGTAGTTAATAATTCCAAGCACTTTGGAATAAATAAAAATATTATCTTTGAAAATTTATCTCAATGGATACCTTTGAACTAAAACTGAAGAATAAAATCAACAAATACATTCTAATATTTTTACAAAACAAAAAGTACCGAATACGTGTGCGAAACCTATCAAAACAATGCTATCATCTGAATTTATTAGTTTTTATTATTATAATTACAAAAACACAATGTTAGAGTAGAATGCCTTTAGTTGTTATATAAGCAATGCTGGTAATTGAAGCGAAAAGAGTTAAATATTAAGAGCAATCATAAAAAAGTACATTTAATTTTGCAGGTTGAAGTGGGGTATTGGAAGATTGATATTAGAATCACCTGTTACACCTCTAGTGATTCCTATATGTCATCTTGGAATGGATCAAGTACTTCCAAACGAACCACCTTATATGTTCAAAACACGAAAAAAGGTTACTATGAATTATGGTGAACCTATAGATTTTAGTGAGTTGTTGAAGAACTTAAAAGAAACTAAAGCCACAGAAGTAGAGGCCAGAAAAGCCATCACAGATCGTATTCAAGAAGAACTTTTAAGGTAAAGCTTTTCTGAAATGTTATTGTGTTGTTTCGTATTTTTATTTAAATCTAATTTTAATTGTACTATAATTTACAGATTAAAGGCAGCTACCGAAAAACTTCATGAAAAATTATGACAGCCGATAAAATTTCGCAGATAATTTTTCCCTAGCCTTAATTATATATATATATATCGACAATAGAAACATGAAAAAATATTAATGAAGATATACATTTTTAATTTTGCATATCACTTTACTAATATGAACAAAGTACGAAATTAGATAAATCTACTCGTTTATAATATATCATTTTCGTTATTCCTTTTTACTTTTTTGGAGTTTTCTCTGAATATTTCTTTAACATATGCATGATATTTACTAATGTAAAATGCAATTTATTTGTTAGTCATTTAGTAATACGTATCATTATGTATATATTATTTAATGCAATAATGATCAAAAGGCAGATAGGAAGAATTTATCAATATATTTAATCGGAATCTTCTTAAATAAGGAACATGATTCTTTAAGATTCAAAATGTAGATAATTTTGAAAATGCTATAACTTGTATTTTTAGTATGATTCGATGACAACTATATTATAATAAAATAATAATTCTATTGCAATTACCAAGTGTATAATTATCTAGATAAATGTATGAATTCATTTATCAGCTTTTAAAAGCTTGTTCCTAATAATAAGTTTATACTAATAATACAATTATAACATTTTTCACTATTTGTTGATATTCATTCTCGTAAAATATATAAATTCCTTTTTTTTATAGAAAAGAAGTCAATGAATCATTTCAAAATCAATTTAAAATAAATATAATATAATAACATACAACTCTTTACAACATAAATACTATTTTTATATATGTATAATATTACAGACAAATCTTTGAACATACAATTTAGTATACAAGAAGTGTGTTTTACATGTATAGTAAAATCTATATAAAATAAATATTCAAGAAATAACATTTATAATAATTTGAAAAGTTTTTTACAAAATAGAATATTTATGTTATTTCGATTTCTATTATTTCTTAGTTTAAAGAAATAAAAACACCTATATTTACAATAATGCTTCACAGTAAAGATCGTTTTTATAATCTTGTAATGTTTCCCTAACTTATATTGTTCTATAATGTTTTTTTATTTATTTATTGTATGTTATTATTTTAAATAAACGTATTGGAAACCAAATATGTACACTTTAGAATAGTTTGAAATTGATTACTAATGAAATTAATTAATTATGTATGCATGATTTATATTTGTTTTTATTAAAAAAGTATTGTTGAAAACCTGTTACATTTATTAATAATATATATAATTAAAAGGAAAACAAAATATTTTAACATCAAATAATAATAGTAATCAAAGTTAATCTTATTTAGTGAAATAACATTATAAATATTCTGTAGATTATTTTTTAAATGTCAATAGAGCATTTATTTTAAACTTTGCTTACATGTTATTGTAAGTATATGTTTAGTTTATATTTATACTTTGTATATTTCATTTTATATGGCTTTTTGTGTATGTATCATTTTTAGTATAATCAAAACTTTTTTATTGTAACTATTGTTAGTTTTTTACAACTTTATTTATTATTTCTATTAAAATAAATGTATGTAACAGCTATAAAAAGATCTTTGGCTAAGTCTCTCACAATAATAGAAAGATCTTAAAATTCTCTCACAATAGTATTTTATTTTCTAAACTGATTTGAGTTTAGACAATTTTAGTTCCTTCAGTGTGTAAGAATTTTTTTCTTAAAATTTATAATTATATACTATTATTAAATATATGTTTAAGAAATGTATTTTATTTTGATATGGAATAATTCGAATATTTTTTAACGTTCTTGAATACATCGACGTAACTATGGTAGCAATAACATTCTACTGTAAATTAATATTTTCAATATATTTCTGTTTCTGTTTAAGTAAGCTGTACAAACTACTTGACATTTTGATACAATAATTAGAGCCATACATATAATATAGTTTTTTCTATAATTCTTAAAGTGACATCAGAATATATATAATTTTAATATAATAATAATGAAAATAATAATTGTGTTGAAAAAATCTGAAGATAGTTGCTTTTCTTGTTAAATATATGAATCTGCCTGTTTAAAGTGTCACTAAAATTTTGTTTCAATTGTTGTACACGCAAGTATATCAACATTAAAGCAAAAATGAATTCTTTTCATATTTCTTAAACTCATTTAAATACAATTTATCATGAAATAGTCTTCTCTCAGTAATCATCATTTTTGATTTTAGAAACATTTCAAAGCCTTACATACAAGACACTTATGCATATTAAAATAATATTTATATTATATTCTCTCTCTCCGATTTAGATGATCAATAGACAAAACATGACATTCAATGCTTATCCTATTGAGATTATTTATTCTATAAACTAACATTGTAATAAATTTATTAACGTAATAATTACGTATGTCTTGGCACATTTTCCTAATTATGAAATTGGTAGTGGTCTTTTACAAATGATACAAAAACGACATACGATACTCTTCTCATCTTACGCTTCGCATACATAAACATAAATTACGTATTTTTATTATTATAAACATTCAATAGAAAAACAAAATAAAACTAACGAAAGAAATAACTAGAATAAAGTATTATCACACTCTTGACACATATTGTTCTTTGTTTATGCATAATATTCCATAACAAGAAAGTCCTGGTTTTTTATTCTGAAATATCTAGAATAAAAAAAGAAAAACAATTTGATATAAAAAATATTATTATATATTTTTTAAGAGCAATTTCAAATACTATTAAGATATGACATAATTGTTCCAACTATTATATCTTTGTTCTTGGACGGTTTTTAAAAGGAAGAGACAATAAAAATACTTTTTTTTATAAGATTCTGATAAAAACAAATGATGTTCAAATTTTCACTGCCTATATAAATATGAATTCAATTTAAAAAGTTATAGAAATATATACATATGTAGTTCTATGTAAGCATTTCTTTTAGTTATTAATATTTATTCCTATCTGGTGTTTTATATGCATATTATAATGTACACAGACAATAGGAAATAAGAAACCAATTATATTCACATTTATCATTATAATCCTCAAGTTTTTGTTATCTATACTCTACAATACATATATAAGAGTATCCCAGTTTTATTTTATTATTTATTACATAAATAAATATTAACATTTATATTTTATGTATTTCCTTTTTTATATGATATGATTAAATAGTGTACGTAATATAAGTTTAGATAGATTGCACACAAACTGCCTTAATAAAAAAAAAAGATAAGAGATACATAAGGAAATACTAATATTCATATTTCATATATCTCTATTTCTTAACACGATATAATTAAATATCGTATTTATTCCGTGTGTGTGTTCGTCTTAATATTTGTCTCTTTCAAATGTATACTTTATTTTGAAACATTATATAAAGCATTTCATAAATTATTAATATTTTTCCAAAAAATTGCATGATCATACATTTATTTCTTATTTTATAGTTTTTTTTTAATTTTACGATTTATTCAAGATCTTTTAATTAGAATACTGTATATGTATAATTATATATTTATATATATATATATTTTTTAAATATTTCTTCTATATTTCTTTTTACCAGTATATTCATAATTTTGTAAATCTCTATACACAGAGTGGTACTTGCAATACTAAATAATTTTAAAATATTGTACTTAAATTTTTGTTACATAGGACAAACATGTTTTTAATTCGATAAAATCACATGTTCTTTTAACAAGAAAAAAATAACTTTACTTACGAAATAATTTGTTCTTTGAGAAGATTTTTTAATGGTTACCATTGACAATTCTACGAAGTTTACTTTTATCAAAAGAACAGATACTTCCGAGTAAAGCTGAACGTTCGTTGCCTGCTTTCGATATACGGGGCTCTGTTCCACCAGACGACACAGGTACTGGTAATGGATTGATGTTTTTGGTAGGTACATCAGCATGTGGCATTTCTGTAGAACCTTAGATTTAAAAAATGTCAATGTTATTACCTTTATAACGACATGAATTAAGTTTTTGTATTCTATATAATTTGATATATCTTGAAAATAAAGTAAATTATGAACATAAACTAAATATATCCATGTAAAGATACTGAAACATTTTTTGCTATAAAAATATGTATAAAGTTTTTAGTAAAAAGGTTTGCAGGACTATAAAAAACTAGATTAATACTTGTTAAGCCGACTAAAAACACTTAATTAACATGGGCTGCAAAATTGACCTTGACAGAATTATAAGTGATTTTCAATGTTTGTAATAGGAGTGACACTTCTTTGATGATCCTATATAATATATCAAAATTAACCTGTACGTTCTCTTACCTTAATATTTACAAATTTTGTTCTACATATCTTGCTTCGCTTGATAGGTAATTTCTTATAATTGTGACTGTAAATCCTATATATCATTAATGGGAAATAAATAGACTAAGTTTTTAAAATAAACTCAAAAAAAAAATCAAAAATATTTAAATTAGAAGACTGGTAAGGCCATACAACCGACTTATCTTATTCTATTTTTCACCAAAAGATTGAGAGAGAGAGAGATTTGAACATTATCTTATAATGATTAAAAAAAGAGGTATATTTGTTACTATGTATTTGCCTGACATGTATTTCTATATTTGTTAATATAATACATGTAAGATACCATTCATAAATACCAAAGTAAGAGTACAATAAACAATTCTTGTTAATTTTCTATTTGACTAGACATTTTGTAATTACCTTACTAAGTATTAGTTGTCTTCCAAGTTCTGAAATCTTCTTTTAATATTTTATTTATATTTTAATCATGCATAAAGGTTTATAAACAAGGAATATAATTAAAATAACTATTTCACATAGTGCATATGTTTCTTAATATGTATACGGTATTTAATTCTATATGTATATGCATGCGATGATATGGGATAAATTTTAACAAACATGAATGCACAAATGAACGACCTACGTGAAAGAAATGACCGTAGTATGCGCCATCAACTTTTGTGCCCAGCTGATTAAAAAAGTGAACATTGATTAGTATTAATGAAGGTAATAGTAATAGCCAAGGTGAACTTACCAAGTGATGGAGGCGTTAATGTTCCAACACTAGTAGCTGTAGACGTACTCGTAGGGCTGTCAGGTCTTTCTGAATTTTTACCATTTACTTGTTTTGTTCCATTTGTTTTTAATTGATTACACATTTGTTGTTCGTGTGCTAATTTTTGTTCCTTTTTCTAATACAAATAATAAAATTTCCATCAATATAGATAAAATAAATATATATCTATATAAAACTAAGAATTTTACCAATTTCTGTTTCCACTTTTTCCTATCTTCATCAGTACTCATCATTCCTTGAACTCTCACAAGTCTTTTTTGATGTCTAGCTACTTTTTGCTCTTCTCTCAATCTTTGCTCTGCCTTATTCATTGCTTCTTGCAAAGCTTCCTTCAAATGGCTACTAAGCTTAAAATGTGGTTTTTCTATAGAACCAATGGCAAGATTTGCACGATGTACTGTTTCAAAAAATGGATGTTCTAGCAAACGTTGGACCTTAGGCAAATCCTGTTTGAGAGCCTCTGGAGATAAAATTACCTCCAGTAGATTTTTCAATGTCATATCGCAAGTTGGCATTTCGGAACACATTGCTTCCATTAATGGTCTGCCAAATGTCATTTCATATAATACATGTCCGAACGAATAGACATCTACTTGAGTCTAAAGAAAGTTACTTCAGTTATTTACATAGAACGATTCGGCATTAATTATTTAGTATTTAACAAACCGTAGCATGGAGCTTTCGTCTTTGAACAACGTAAGGCCTATAAAATGCTGGTAAACCCAAAAGACCATTCTCTATGTCTAATAACTTAGCACATCCTTGCGTCAATAATATGTTACCTGTATGTAGATGCCCATAAGGTAATCCTTTTTCATGTAAAAAACTTAGTGCCTCCAAAATCTGTAATATGATACATTAAATTAGCAATTACAAACTTCAATACTTGTTTTTTTTATCTTGAAAGTCAATAATTACTAACCTGATAACCATAAGTAGTAATTTCAGATAGTGTGAGTGATTTAACTTGTTTTGGATTTCCATATTTTTTTATAAACGACTGCTTAGGTTTGGTCATACAAAGTATATCACGTAATGTACCCATTGGACAAAAATTTCTTATCATAAGAGCTCCATTCTCTGTTACATGCTGGTGAACCATTGGTTCAATGTAATTATGTTTCAAAGTGCCTAGACTCTTGAAAACTCCTTGCATGTCTTTATCCTGAAGATGTTTATCTGGTCCAAATTCTACCCAAGCAAGCAAATATTCTTGCTTTGGATGTTGACGATTCTTAACAGTATAGTAATATTTTTTTAATCGCCATCCCATATCAGGAATAGCTTTTCCAACTTCAAAATTAGCATCACTGCGTAAAGCTAGTGACACTTGCTGTAGTGCTATTTCTACAAAAAGAAGAAAAAATTACATGCATATATGTAAAATATACAAATAATCAACATTTGGAATCTAACTTATTACCATGTAATGGCGTTGTATAATTATCAGGATCTAAAAATTTTTTCATGGGAAGAGATGATGCCAATATGGGATTCATTAGTACAATATTTAAATAATTCTGTAAAGCTAGTTGACGTTGAGCTATAAAGTTAGGCTCCATGTTCCCAATGATTTTTTTAGGAGGTAATGGCAAGTCAATGCCTGATACTGATAAAACTGCATTAAGCTGAACAAAGTCATTGTAACGTCTGCTCACTCTCCACGTTTTTTCAGGTAGAGGACCACGTTGTACTCTAATCACATACTCCTATATAAACAATAAAGGAACTATCAAATATCGATATTAAAATTAATTTAATCTAAACTAAACTAAACTAATTAAGATTATGCTTGCTGCTATCATACTAAATAAAAAAATACATTATAAAATCGATGTAGAAAATGGGCTATAACAATTCTTGTGAATATCAACATGAAAATAATTCAAACGTCATTATTATAATTAGTAACAATTACTAAATAATTGATCTTATTGAATAAGAAACTTACCGTATGCCCGTCGATTGTTCTAGCATTTTCAATAACACTTGTCAGCTTTTCTGTATCATCTAGTAATATTTTATTTGTATACCTCTTCTCAAATAAAGCCATTGATTGATACTAATCCGATGAAACGCAGAGCCCGTGAGGGGCGATCTGCGATAATATTCCGCATAAACCCCACGCGTAACCAAACATAACGTGCTTCAGCTTCATTTCAGCATTAGTAAGCGTAAATTCAATAATAATATCGGCCTCACTGTTATCGGATACTGCCTCTAGGGTGTTAATTTCGCTGACAACTACATACGTGATTTAGTTAGAACATCAATTTGTAAGAGAACCATCTTATTATACGGTCGCCCACTAATGTCACAAGTAAGAACTATTACCTGCTACTACCTGTTCTAAATAAAACGCAACTTGGAAACAGATGGATTATAGATAATTCACGATTATCAATAATTCGTCTTTCTTTGATTATGTAACGTACATAACGGATATTATTGTTAAATTACTTTTCTAAATAATTTCAGATTAAAATTAAAACGTTTTTAAGCTTCGTCGGTGTGTACACTTTGTGTCAAAAGTTATCAAAAGGTTAATGGAAATTAAATGATAAAGTGAGAGAGAAAGAGAGAGAGATATCTGCGCTGCACTGACGCACCACCTAGTGGTATATATTGAAAGTGTTTAAAAGTATTTATGTTCACAATATTGGCGTCACTGTATTTTCTCTTTATAAGTTAATATTACAAGAATGGTATTTACTAGAGTGTTTATAGTATGTAATGTTTTAATTATCTTCCCTGAAATAATAACAAAATAACGATGTTTACTAAACCGTTTAAAGTAAAATCTAATAACCAATTAAAGGGTACTGAAAGGTTAGTCTAAAAATTATTTTTCTATTTATATTTATTTGTTTTATGTTATTATTTTATATATTTATAAATATATAAAATTGCTTGATTTTGTTATTGCTTCTCTCTTCAGGAAAAAATTATGCGAGTATGTACTTAATAAATATCCATCTCTAACAGAAGAAGCGATACAGACTTTATTACCTAAAAAAGAATCAATTACTGTTATGAGGATAGTAACACACAATGGTCAACTATGTAAATTATATTGTGTTGCGAAAATACCAATGTTCTTTCAATTAGAAATATCCTTGTCTATGTTTTTCCCAACGATTTACACATTATGGTATCATCCACATTTATTATACGCTTTTACTATGCATATTCAAGTATTACCAAAATTGGTAGAAGGGGCAGATTTGATGTTACCTGGAATAGTAGTAAAAGAACCAATAACATTCTATTCTTATGGTAAATTAGAAAAAGGTACTCCAGTATCAGTGAACACAGAAGAAAATAAGGTATTACTTTTTTAATAGAGGTAATGAATATCAACATATTCTGTCAGAGACAGAAGTATGAATAATTAATTGAGTAAAATTTATAACAGGCGCCAGTAGCTATTGGTATTACTGCACTCTCCAGTGAAGACATGTATTTATCTGCGGGTCATGGAAAATGCATACAAATTTATCATGTTATGGGTGATACTCTTTGTCAACTAGGAAAATCACCTCCTAGACCTGACCTTGGTCTTCCAAATGTTTGTAAAGAAGATCAGTTAGATGAGAATGAAAAGGATAATGAAAAACTAGAAATTACAAAAAGTGATTCTGATGATGCCACTTTTGAGCCACTGTCTAATTTAATTGATGAATTACAAATTGATGACGATGATAGCGCTATTAAAGTAGACTTCATATCTGAGGTAAATATATCTATATTTTTAAATCTTTTTATGTTAGAATATATATATTTACAATTTGATATTATAAAAATCTAAATTTTACATTATATGTAGGATATTACAAATAAACCAGAGGAGCAAGCAGAAAAAGACTTAATTTCCGAATTCTTAAATCTCACAAAAGAAATGGATGAATTATTGGAATATTGCTTTTTGAAAGCATGTAAAACAACGCTGAAAGTCACCGATCTGCCCATATTAACCTCTACTTTTTTCAAAAATCATTTACTAACGGCCTGTCCATCAGATAAAAATATAGATATAAAAAAATCACGTTACAAGAAACTATCTGTTTTTCTAGCAAATATGAAAGCTAAAGGACTTATTAATACTTCTGTGACAAAAGGAGTAGAAAGTATATTATCAGTGGAGGTAATTTGCAATACCTAATTTGAAATTTGTTGAAATACTTGTTGAGAGCCATTCTTCTTTATCATATTATCTTTTTTCATTTAGTTTAAGCATCCTTTAGTGAAAGAATTAATTGTTACTGAAACACCAGCCCCACCAGAACCAGTTGTTTCAAATACAGTTGGCGTATCAGACTGCTATAAAGTAACTACTGATGTTACACCAATATTATCACTATATGGATACGAGTAAGTAAATAATTGCTGTTTTAGGTAATTATTGTCTTATTGCGATACAATATTTGCACAAAGCATGATCTTTTGTACAGAACAGATGTTAAAAAATGTTCATCATACTCGATTACGCTATATTATAATATGAAAAATATTTGTATATATTTTCCTGCAATGTGATGATTACAGAAAAGGCGACACTATAGAAAGACGACAAATCAGAGAGTGTTTTATAAAATATATCAAAAAAGAAAATCTTCAAGATGGAAAGTGAGTAAAAAATAAATACTTTTTAAAATAACCTTGGTGCATAATACCGTCAATACTTTTTAGAATTTTGAAGTTAAATCCACAACTTGCTGGAATTTTAAGAACTAAAGAACATCAAGAAACTTTATCAGTTGAGGACGGAATTAATAAGTTTGTAGGTCGTATGACGCATATGCATCAAGTAACCTTAGCGGGTACAACGATCTTACATAAAGGAAAACTAGAACCAATTGACATGAGAGTAACCATGAGATCGGGAGGAAAGAAAGTGAGTTAATGTACAGTAAAAATATGAAACATAAAAAACGGATAATATTTTATTTTAATACCATATATATAAACTTTAAGGTGACATTGGTAAATAATCTAGAAGCATTTGGAATAAATTCTAAAGACTTTAGTAAAGAATGTCAAAATATTGGCGCAAGTGCTACAATCATTGATGACCCTGGAAAGAAAACTCCAAGCGTTCTAGTACAAGGAAATCAAATCTTGTATGTGTATAAATTATTAACAGGTATGAAATTATTATACATGAGATTACTATATATCTAGATAATAGATATTTGTTGAAAGTTTTATACTATCAATTAAAAATTTTAATTATTAGAAAAATATGGAATCAAGAAGACTTATATTCGAGGTTTGGAGTTTGCACCGAAAAAAAATGCCAATAAAAAGAAATAAACTGTCTATGTTAACAGAATACATTTGAATATCATAACAAAAAAAAATGAAATATAATGTTTCTTTATAAATGTGATTAAAACCAGTCTGATTCTTTACACGAAAAATTAGTTTTTAAATTTATAATTTTCCATATGAATTATATGTTATTGTTGTATGGTCCAAAATGCATATTTCATTTAGCAATAAAATTATAAGTCCTGTAATTATACATTTTTTTTTAAATTAAATAAGTTTATGTATGTTGTAAGATATATATTTATATGTGTAGCAAATAAAAATGCATCAAATTAATGATAAAAAACGTAAATTTAAAATAAAAACGTAATCTTACAAACAATTGTCACCCTTCGAAAATTTGGATAATAATTGACATCGATTAAAGTTTGTTAATATAATTTATTGTATATCGAGGTTTCAACATGGAAAAGTACAAATATTGCAATATAGGGCCCGCGAGTTCTCCTCGGATAGGAGGGAGGGAGGGAGAGAGGGAGAGAGAAGGATGTCAAGTTAAAGGGTGGGACAAGACATCGCGACAAAATATACGCGCGTGTCGAAATGTTTTTTCTTCTTGCGTCTATACTTCCAATTTTAAATCACATTCATTCATATTACGATCTTATTTATTTTTTTCTTCTTCGTTCTTTCCTGGTATTATTCGCCCTTATTATATATTCTGTTCGACGAGGAATAAAATCATTTTTTAATGGAAGAGACGAACACGCGGTTCTCGTTCGTCAGATTGTTTTTATATCTCGGTGTATGAGTGAGTGCATACGTATGTATATACGAATGGTGTAAGTACATACGTGTGTTCCTTTCTTTTCTTATTTTTTAATATTTTTTTTTCGTTTTTTTTTTATTTTTTTGGATTAAAGGAAGATTCCCTCCTCTCCATGGCCCTCGCATATATTTAATACTCATTTTGTTCATTTTTTTTTTCTTTTTGTTCTCTCTCTCTCTCATCTCTACGCACGCGTGCATCACGTAGTGACTCTTATTTAATTTTTTTTATTTATTTTTTTTTATTTATTTTTTTTTTTTTATATTTTTTTTTCCTTTCATTATTCAATTATTCGAAACGCGCGCGTGCGTATCGTTACTATTGTTTTCATGATCATCATAATCGTCATCGTCATTCCATTCTCATTAACTACCAATGGTGCTCCGACAGTCGTAGCGCGTGAACGTTTCTCGCACAGCGATCGACCCCCTTTTTTTTTTTTGTTTTTTTTTCTTTTTAATTTTTCTTCCTTTTATTTCATTAGCTCCTCGTCTTACGAGTGCGCTCGATATCTCGATAAAGAAAAGGTCCAATATCTTCTTATAAATAGATTTTCGGTTAATCTCTATGCGATTCAAAACGTATATACATACATGTGTAAGTATATATATATATATATATATATATATATATATATATATATATATATATATATATATATATACACATATATATACACGTACTTAAATATATGTATTTACGGATACGCAACGTGTATGCGTTGTTCGTGAATTTTAAGATTTTTTTTTCTTCTAGCTATAGCTAGTTATAGCTTCGAGAGATGAACTTATGTCGATCCGTGGGCGGAACCGTGCTGCGAGGATATTCGTGATCCCCGTGCTTTCAAAATAACTCACATGAGTACGTGCGAATAAACGCGCGAATTTAAACACGCGAATAATAAAAGACAAAAATCCGGAACATTTAGAAAAATCGTTAAGAGGAAATGCATACATCATCTATGAATGTTATTTTACTCCGATGCTCTGCAATTCTCTTACATTTTACATATTTTTCGATTATATTCCTCTTTTACGATCTTTAAATGTGTATTATTATAAATAGTATTCTTTTTCTTCTTTTTTTTTTTTTCTCTCTCTCAGAAAGAAGGATCGA